ACTCTTAATTGATATGTTAACTTGGAAATTTAATTTTTTTTTTTTTTTAATGATTACCACTCTGTTACCAATTCGATCTACTAGCCAACTTCTCATCTCCTCACAGTACATTATACTAACCAACTTCTTTACAGCTTCTTATCTTTAAAAAATGAAGTACGCAAGAATCTTCAGGGCTCACTGTATATTTATAGGATATAGTAGCGTTAATTGTTCTACAATCTCCGAGGTTTTCTCACATTCCGTAAAAAAGTCTACCGAGATCTACTAGTCCCATCGGCGATTTTCAAACTCGTTGCGCCATTTGCCATTTCAATTTTCTCTCTGCAATCAGTCGAATGCTTTTGTTCCTTCGCTTCTCTTCCCTTTCGAAGCTTCTTCTAGAAACAGAAATTATTAATTAGCATTCAGGTTACTTCGAAGTAGTTTCGTTTAAGTTGAAAACTTGTAAACTTGTTACAAACACTTCTCAACTTTCCTCAAGATCGATCAGTCTTTCAGGGTTCTTTACAATTTTCCAGACGTTCCTGCCTTACAATTAATCGTTTTATTATACAGAAAATAAAATTTTCTTAACGCCTGGAGTCTTTGACTCGTGAAGTCCTTTGTCCCTTTTTAATTTCGACCACTTTTTCGATGTATCTCACCGAAGCAAACGTTCATTAGCACCTACGAGTGTTTAACTTCACAGACTGAATGTCGTCTCGGTGTAAAAACTGCCTTGGAGAAGCAGGAGTCGTTAATTAACGTTCACAGTAGTTGGCCTGTTTATCTTAAAAGCTTTTGAATCCGTTGGAAAAGTTTCTCGAGCTTCCTCGAGATTGGACAGTCTTTCAGCATCTCTGCAATCTGTCCCTGTGCTCTCATTTGTCGTCGTTTCATCTTCAAGGATGTAGAATTTGTTAACGCCTGCTGTCCTTTGACTTGAACGGTCCTTAATTTCTTTCAACGCGAAGACTTCCGTTTCCTCTGAAAGGAACACGCAACTTTCTCGATGTGTTGACAGTTTGCGTTACCAAGGAAAACGTTCATTACCACCTGCAAGTGTTTTACTTGGGAATTCCTCTCGAGTTCTTTCTCGGTTAATGGCGAAAACTTCCAGTTTGCGAATTGCCGAACCGCGAGATTAACTTTCCACGATATATATATATACGCTGTAACGCGCTCAAACCACGTGTCCAGAGTCGCGTTTTGTCCTGTTGAGAGGTGGGCGAAATTTTCATTCACACGAGAGGCGAATAAAATATTTATTCGATCGAACGACTAATCTTTCATTTGTTCGTAGTGGTATCTTTCGTTCCATAAATCAAATCCTAATTCCTATCTTTTATTCATTATTCGAAATTTTATATGACCAATAGATGGTGAATAGAAGCCTTAAATAATCAGCTTACAATTGAATAATTATTCAAGAGAACTGTTGTTCGTTTAACTTAGTAGTTAACCCTATAATTTAATTTTTATTGAACGAACGATAGATGAATGGTTATTTATCCTTGATTCATCATTCGAAGCTCTGATTGTCTAGAAGAGCATTTCGCTCACCTCTGGTTTCTAATGGAATCTAGTCGTAAAGAATCGATTACCTCGACGTTTTCTGATCATTTTGTTTCAGTTGCTAATGATCGACGAAAAGAAAGGATCGCTCGATCGTGCTCGTCACGAGCGATTTCAGCGACTCGTCTAGCGATTTGAATCACGAGGTGTCACTGACTTTATAATTCGATCGACACCATCGCGGATTTCCTCTAATCGATCTTTGGAAATTACACTGGAGGAACCCAGAACATATCCGACGTGTTTTTAAGCGGTTTTAAAACGGTTGTAGAGCGTGCTTGATCTTCGATCTTCGTGATTTATGCCTTCGACGACGATCGTGGCGAGCTCGAGAACTATATTTTTAATCGCGCGCGTTCCGTATTTTACTATTCGACACCGAAGACCTTCTTTCCGGTCTCTACGCTACTTGGAGTCCGCGTCGATTCAATTTTTGATCGTTCCGTAACTATTTGCGAATCCACTTGTACGCATAGTTGATATTAATTGTATCTAGCGCGCGTGTCCCGCGCGTGATTCAGTGTCTTGAGGTACAGCTCGGTTGATTTATGCACGATGCCCGATCCTCGATCGATCGGATCGACGATCGTGCTTCGACCGTTCGATGCGTATGACAAAGAAAAACAAAATAGACAGATGTTTAAAAAAGGAGAAAATTCTCAGCGATAATCGAACCAGTTCTCGAGCAATTCCAACGAGCTTCGACGCCGTTTACATATCTTCGTTGCAATAGAGGCAAAAAATAAAATAAATCGTGAGCAGACTGGATGTTTATGCATCTACAGCAATTGGAAATACGGGGAATATACGTATATGAAAATACAAAAATTGAATGACGCGCTTTTAGTTTAATTTCAATTCTTTTTCTGTGTCTTTGAAAATATGAATTAGCATAAACATCCCCAGTCTCGCTTTTCATCGTCGAACGGTCGAACGTACACCAGACCAGAGTCTGGCAACGAATTTTATTCGAACAACACGAGGCATCAATCTACCGTTAACCCTTTCAGTGCTATGAACTTGTTGAACCTGAGCGAGAAATTAAGCTAACTGTTAACCGAGGTAGTTAAAAAAAAAAGTCCGTTACCAACTGAAAAAATACAAACACAACCAGCGACGAATGGGAAAAAGGTCGATAAACCTTTAATTTGTTGTTTGATAACGTTGCCGGTCTCTGCGTCGGCCGCTACGAGCGAAAGAGCACAGACAGACCCTTTCGAGCTTAAAAAAAGAAAACATAAACGATAAACGTAAAAGGATTACAAACAAAACGATAAATGAGAAAACCCAGGGAGAAAAGATTGTTCGTGTCCCAACACGAGCGGACGAAAACAATTTAAAATAGCTGACGTGCGATCCAACTGTGCCTCGAAAAAATCTGAGCGACGTCCCCTCCGACTAAGTATGTAATAGATTGTAAACGTTCACTAACTATTCTTATCGATATTATTGTCATTATTATTACTGTCATCATTATTGACTGTCATTGTTATTGTTAACTATGATTACACCGTCACCGCGCATTAGAGGATTGTTCACGTGCAACTGCGACGTCGCTTCCGCGCGCGACATTCGTGTTTTTACTTCTACGAGCGTTGCGATGGCGTACAGGATTGCTGAGATTACAAAAATTAGCGTTTCACGGACACCAGCTGGAAGGGAAGGATTGTTTCACGGATCCTTGAATCAGAAAACGATCTGATTCAGTCTTGCGCGTATTAATCGAGGATTCGTGGATCAGTGGTTTTTGTTCAGTTTTCTTCTCTGTAATTAAATCAAGCCTCCATGTGGATCATTTCAAATCGGGATTGTTGATCGATACGCTTACAAATTTTTAATTACCGAATTCCATTCCAAAGTCGACGATCTTAGCTTCCATCTTTACCTCCTTTTATCCTCTTCCCTGAAATTAAATCGAGTCTGAGTATCCTCCACCTAGGATCACTTGAAATCTAGCATTGTTATCTAGCTTAGCCTCCATCGAACGATTTTATGCGAAAATTCTGGTTTCCTCGAGAGTTTCTTTTAAATTAAAACAGGTGTCTGTGTTGACAGAATTCAACGCAGTTTGCACTCCACCCTCGAGTAACTCGTCGAGTTTGATCCCCAGATGGTTGATCTCGAGGCTGAACGAGCTTTTCATTAAAACTTCAATTAAAACTCTTGTTCCTTCTCTCCCATCTTCATCAAACATAGTTATCCACGTCGTTTTTTAAATAAAAATTTCTTGACACTGGGCATGCTTCAGAATTCTAATTCAACTTCATCGAGGAATGTGAATAAACATCTCGATCTATGTCAACTCATCTTTAAAGTGACGCATTAGTCTACGGGACGAACCTACATTATTTCCAATCTTGTTAATATATCTCAGAGTTTATCAACGCAACCTTCGACGTTAGATCTCGATCAGATTCTAGCACGACACCCTAAGGGTTCGATTAGCAATCTGAAGTATCTTGTACGATAAACAAACGTGCCAATGCTTATCACGATTTTCGGGTTTACGCTCTGAGATTTTTTATCGAAAATCACGCAGCTCTTGACGTGTTTCCCCTTCTAAATTAAGACAGCTGTCGGCGTCATCATCTAAAATTAACGTCGATAGCGAATCTCTGATATGTAGAATGATTCTGTCGATATGCCTATCGATTCTCGAGGAAACTCAGATATCCTAGAGCCACTAAAAAGTTTTGAATCCAAAGCAATTTATTTATTCGTTCATGAATTTGAGTTGAAAGGAAATTGCTTTTAAAAATCACGATTAACTTTGGTGGTTTTGCCTTCCAACGACCTCCATTCGATACGAAAAGGTGTAGAAAGGTGTTTTCTGGTTTTAATTTACGTTCTCCAGCTGGTGTCGCGTTTCCGCGGAGTCCCAAGCGACGCCAACTGTCGGCGAGAGAGAGGGACGAGCAGAGATGGGCAGGATTCTATTCAAATTCACACTTTATTCAAACAATAAAATTCACTTTTCTTCGATTAAACTATTACTGTGCAAAGTTCAACCTTCGTTCAAGAAAAAGAATATCATTGCGCTATTTATCTCAATAGTTAGCATACTTTCTACCATTTAGAATTTTAGATTCAAATCTCTTCTATTCGATTATCTAAATAAATGAATAATCTCTTCAACAATAATTCGTATTGAATAGTAATTTCTTGTTTTACGTTTCTATTAAACAAATAACGAATCGAAGCTTTACCACCTTCTGTTCGTTATTTGAAACTTTTCACCTAACGTTGCCCATCTCTGGGGAAGTGTGATCCACGAAGGCTAGCTTCTCGAGTCTTCGATCAACGATCCCTCGCGAATATAAAAAATAAATCGCCGTTCAGCGTGTCGTCGCGGGATTTGCCAAACTAAAGAGAAAGAAACGAAGACAAGGGAGTGCATGAGCGAAAATGAGAATGAGTGCGAGAATGGCGCGAGAATGAGAGACGAGAGTGCAAAACGAGAGAGAGAGAGAGAGAGAGAGAGAGAGAGAGAGAGAGAGAGAGAG